AAAAAGACCTTTGTATGACATGTCATCCTATAAATAATTTATTTTCGTAAATGTAACAAATCAGTATAGTCCTTCAAATGTAATTGAATTTTCTTTTTTTATTCAATTTTATTATATAAAACTAAAAAGTATAACGTATAAAAAAAATTGCACTATTTGCAATATACTAAATGTTATAAATTTTGAATATAATATTGTAAAATATCTACTTTTGAACGTTATTAAAAATAATAATTTTCTAAGAGATATTTTAGGTCATGGGCGTGATCCACTTCTTCCACTACAAAACACACATTTGCACATTTTTCCTTTTTCTCTCATGCTCTTATCTTTTTGTCTTCTTTCTTTTCATTTAAAATATCCTGGGTTTATTTTATTTTCTACTTAAGAGATCCTTGCTAGTTTTAAGATTCACAGAAATTTTGAAAAGTTCATGTTGTATCTTAGGGACTTGCGCAATACATCGCAGATAAGTTCTTAATGACTGTGATCTACACGCCTTAGGAAATTGCGGTTTGAGTTTGGTCAGTATTTTTACTACACTAAAGTCGTGCTAAAATATCACAGTAACAAAGAAGTTGTCATAACATTGTACAATCTTAGTTACAGAAGTCGTCACAATATTTCATGACTTAAATATATTTAATAATAAAACTGAAGTCGTGAGACCTAAAAGCGTTTCAATATGTTACGATTTTAATTTTTTTAAAAGTTAAGATTTTGCACAACTTCAATTTAGTCATTGATATAAATTTTTTTATTATGAAATCATGTCAAATTAACACCATTTGTCCCATTCTTTTTTTAAACTTGTATCATTTTAATAATTTTAGAAGAAACTTACCCATTATGGTAAAAAAAATCTCAAAGACTAAATTAATATTACATATTTACACAAATTATTGGAGAAAATAACTTTAACAAGAGAGTTTCTAGTATACATAATAAGATAAATATAATATATTACGAGACGTGGTGTTTAAGGAGTTATACTCAATCCTATATGAGATATATATTTTTTATTGTTATTTAAAAAATATTTGAAATTCAAAGTTTTTAAACCTTTTAATTTTTCTAATTCATGCTTATGCAACAATTATTTGACAATTTTGTAAAAGGAAAAGGAAAAAGAAAAAGGTGTATGCATATATAGAACATGTGTGTTAATATGACATGCATGCATTACCTGCTTGTACCGTTAAATTTATCATCTATTATAATATGAGAAAATAAAATATTAGGAAATTTATTTTATTAATCATATTTATTTAGTGACAAATGTTCCAAATTTTAGTTTTTTAGTTATTTAACATTATCAATTTTTTTTTTTAATTTTTACGTCACATATGCTTAATAGTTATTTTACTATTTTATATATTTGTTTTATTTTTAAATTGATTTTTTTAAAAGTAGAAATATATTTCTATAAAAGTTTGTTCATACATTAATTAGATAAGTCTAATAATATACGAGTTTCTTCATGTATTAATTAGATGAGTCTAATAATACACTAATTAAACAAGTATAACAAAAAATATCAAAAGTATAACAAAAAACATTAAATGAATCATTCCATATATTGATTAGATGTGTCTAGGAATACCCATAATATGAGTTTGTCAATACACATTAGACAAGACGATTCATTCACTAATTAGATGATTAGACAAATTTGTTCATATACACTGATTAGATGAGTATAGCGAAATTCTAACAATTCATATTAGATGAGTTTGTTCATAAGTCTTGCAACCCACATTAGACGGCTATATGTTGATTACACGAGTCTAGCAATACACTAAACGAGTTTGTTCATATACATATTAGATGAATTTATTAATATACATTAGACGAATTTTACCCATTCTTTGATTATATGAGTTTTGCAATACATATTAAATGAGTATGAGTCTGTCTATATATTTATTAGACAAGTCTAGCAATATACATTATACAAGTATGTACATATATTGATTAGATGAGTCTAACAACATATATTAGATGACTTTGTCAAATGCATTAATTAAACAAGTTTAATAATATATATTATACAATTGCTCATACAGTGGTTTATCTTTTTAACGAGTCTATCCTACATATATTTTTTTGGGTTAAATATGTTTTTCGTCCCTTAAGTATCACTGATTTTTGGTTTTAGTCCCTACTCAGAACTTTGATGACTTTTAGTCCCATAGTATTGAAACTTGTAATATTAGTCCTTGAAAATGGACGACGTCGACTTTTTGTTGATCTGGCAAACGACAAGGTTACGTCTTCTGTCAGCTTCCGTCCTAAGTATCTGTCACGTTGCTTGTTTAATTTGTGGAATGAGATTAAGTGATTGACACGTGTGTGCCTGATTAAAATCAGATTACAAAAGTTGGTTTCTTCTTCGTCATCTCAGTTGGGGGCAAAGTTGGGTTCTTCTTTATCATCTCAGTTGAAGGTTGGAGTTCGTCTTGTTGAGGAGGTAAGATGATTCGTATTGTTTTGCCCTTCTGCGTGTGAATATAAGTATTGGGATTTAGGATTTGGGTGGGCACGAAAGCTGATGAAGAGATTTCTTTGTTGTAGTGAAATGAAAATTGTTATTATTTTCCTTCTGATATATCATGATGGCAGGAAAATATAAAAAAGCATCAACTTGTCTTGTTGCAATGCAATAATCAGGTAAAAAATTGTTTATGTGATAACTAACTTATTTTTGCAAATTGATTTCAGTATCACAAATAAAGGAGATAAGACTAAAGTATTTTTATCTTCCAGTTCAATGAAATGAATATTCCCTTTAGAATGAGTGCAGAGCATCATCTCGAACCTCTTTCATGGATTATGAATGGTGACACTCAAAATATAGTTTTACTTGAGGACTCAACCATGTTTCTACACAAGTGAGTTATAATGGGCAACTCCAACCTTCAATTGAGATGACGAAGAAGAACCCAGCTGTACCCCAATTGAGATGACGAAGAAGAACCCAACTTTTGTAATCTGATTTCAATCACCCACACACGTGTCAATCACTTAATATCATTCCACAAATTAAACAAGCAATGTGGCAAATACTTAAGACAGAAGTTGACAGAAGATGTGGCATTGCCGTTTGCCAGATCGACAAAAAGTTGACGTCGTCCATATTACATGTTTGAATATTATGAGAACTAAAAGTCATCAAAGTATTGAATATGGACTAAAACAAAACAAAAAATCAGTGATACTTAAGGAACGAAAATCGTATTTAACCTTATTTTTTTATGTCTCTTATATTTTTAGAAAGTCTATTCCATACTTTTGCACTTATGTTTTTACCTTTTATACTTAGAAAATATACTATTGATACGTTTACATACATTTTAATAATTTTCTAAACCTATAAATACTTTTAACATTAGATTATATTCAAAACTTAATTATAAACTTAATATATTTATTATATATTTTTTCTTAAACTCTAAATCTCTTTTAATAAATACTCAAATTTACATCAACTCATGCCTAACCATAAGTTTAAAACTAGTTTTGTGGAGAAAAGTATACCGTATGAAAGACCATGCATGCCTTGCTCTCTCTTCCTACGGAATATCTCTCTTCCCATCTTTCCAAGGATGCTGAAAGCTCTTAGCCGAAAGTTTAAATTGCATGAGGATACTTTATTCAATTGCAAAACAATGTCCACCAAACTTCAGTGGAGCATACATGTATGCATTTTATGCACATGCTTTGACCAGGATCACAGGACCGGAATCAAATAAAACCTTTAACATATTTTAATTTAAATGAACTTCAAATAGAATTTTATTTTATTTAAACAGTCACTCCCAATTTATTTCAACATTATTTCTATCAATCATATTTTATTTTAATTTAGTAACACTAATTACAAAGTTTTTCTTTTCAATAATAATTCATTTTTTATTTTGAAATAATTTAAACTAGTTATTTTTATTTAAAATGAATTTTATTTACAAAGATAAAATAAAATTGTAATTTTACAATTTCATCAATTGTTGTGTTTGGACCATAATTCTAAGAGATAAATTAGTTTTTTTATATAGAATATAAAATATTTTTCTGGTTGCTTTGCAAAAAAATATAAAAAAATTAATCTCTCTTTTGTCATCTATCTATTTTTTTTCTATCAGTATTTAGATAGTATCTATGAGGTAGAAATAAAGTTGTTATTTTCAAACTAATAATTATATACATTATTTTATTTTAATAAATATAACTAAAACATTTGAAAATGATTAAAATTCAAATAAAGAAACAAACAAATTTTAAATATATTTAGTCCTGCAACAGGTTAATTATTTTTTTTTAAAAAAGAAATAAAAAAAATAAAAATTTTTTTAAAATAGATTTTGATAAAACTATCTTTATTTTAAATCTTGATATTTTATTTAAATAATTGTAACTAACTATGTTCAGGTCCACTGCCCAATACACTTCCATTTTGTACGCCTTTTAACGACTCTAAACTAAATCAATTTATTAATCCTAATTACTTAACTACTCTTTCGTAATCATTTATCTTAATGCTTTTATTAATCGTTTCATTAAAACGGTTATCAAACATTAAGTTATCTTTTATATTAAAAATGAAAATATATCTCGTCTATAAATATAAAATACAAATAATATATTATCTTAAATAATATTTTTAATAGACTACACATTATCTTATATAATTCTTTTTAGTGAACTATTATATAAAATGGTGTTTTTAATAGACTATATATTATCTTAAATAATATATTTATATTTTAAATAATATTTTTAGTAAACAATTTATTATCTTATATAATCTTCTTAACATATTACCTATTATCTTAAATGATCTACTTATATCTTAAATAATCTTTAGAACAATTTTATAACGATTTCCTCTAAAGTTATAAATACCTATACAAAATATCAGCATTCAACGTCACAATTCAAACACTGGAAGGAGAACAAGGAAAAGAAGGAGAAAAGAGCAACATACATAGAGGCGATTTACTTCCAAGAACACATCTATGGCGAGAAGCGTGTTTCTCATGCTATTTGCAGTAGCCACCTTGCTTCAGGGCTCCATGGCACAGACCAGACACGTGGTGGGTGATTTCGCCGGCTGGACCATCCCTCCCAGGGGTGCTGCAACCTACATCGCTTGGGTTTCTGGAAAAACCTTCGTCGTAGGGGATACTCTCAGTATGTTAATCTCTTAAATCCATCAATTAATTGGTTTATTGTGTGTTATTATTAAGATTACAAATTTATGAATCAATGTAGGCTTCAACTCAATTTTTTTTATTGATGAATTTTGCAGTGTTTAACTTTTCCAACGGCCATCACGACGTAGCCAAGGTGACGAAATCAGTTTATGACACATGCAACGGTGGGAATACCCTTTTCACCATTACCTCCAGTCCAGCGATCGTGGCACTAAACGAGACAGGGGAACAATATTACATTTGCACCTTTGGATCACATTGTTCCCTTGGTCAGAAATTGAAAATTAACGTTGTTAGTAGAGCTTCTGCCATTCCTTCTTCTGCCCCTCAACCTAGTACGAGTGGTTCTTCACCAACACCAAGCACTATGTTATCCCCAGCTCCAGGCCCATCCACTGGACCAGTTACTTTCACTGTTGGAGAGAGCTTAGGCTGGACTGTTCCCACTAACGGTGCTGCAGCTTACACATCTTGGGCATCTGGCAAGACTTTCAAGGCTGGAGACATACTAGGTAAGTCAACATGCATCATTA